ATTTCTTGATCGGATTATTTGCTCTTTGGGTGTTGAGTTTGATAAGTTCTTTATAGATTTTGAATACTAGCCCTTTATCAGATAAGACATTTGCAAATAACTTCTCCCATTCGGTTGTTTTTCTTTTGGTTTTGTCGACTGTTTCCTTTGATGTGCCATAGCTTTTTTTCTTGATGAAGTCCCAGTAGTTCATTTTGGCCTTTGTTTCCCTTGCCTTTGGAGATGTGTCTAACAAGCAGTTGCTCTAGCCGACGTCAAAGCGGTTTCTCCCTGTGTTCTCCTCTACAATTTTGATGGATTCTTGTCTCACATTTAGGTCTTTCATCCATTTATCTTTGGGCATGGTGTAAGAAAATGGTCCAGTTTCATTCTTCTGCTTGTGGCTGTCCACTTTTCCCAACACCAATTGTTGAAGAGACTGTCGTTTTTCCATTGGATATTCTTTCCTGCTTTGTTGACAATTAGTTGACCACAGAGTTGAGGGTCTGTCTATTCTGTTCCATGGATCTATGTGTCTGTTTTTGTACCAGCACCATACTGTCTTGATGATTACAGCTTTGTAATAGAGCTTGAAGTCCGGCATTGTGATGCCACCAGCTTTGGTTTTCTTTTCCAACATCCTTTTGGCTTTTTGGCATCTTTTCTGGTTCCATACAAATTTTAGGATTACTTGTTCCATTTCTTTGAAAAAAGTTGATGGTATTTTGATAGGGATTGCATTAAATGTGTAGATTGCTCTAGGTAGCATAGACATTTTCACAATATTTGTTCTTCCAATCCATGAGCATGGAATGTTTTTCCATTTCTTTGGGTCTTCCTCAATTTATTTCATGAGTGTACTATAGTTTTCTGAGTACAGATCCTTTGCCTCTTTGGTTGGGTTTATTACTAAGTATCTTATAGGTTTTGGTGCAATTGTAAATGGGATCGAGTCCTTAATTTCCCTTTCTTCTGTCTCATTGTTAGTGAATAGAAATGCAACTGATTTCTGTACATTGATTTTTATATCCTGCCACGTTGCTGAACTCCTGCATGAGTTCTACCAATTTGAGGGTGGAGTCTTTTGGGTTTTCCACATAGAGTATCATGTCATCTGTGAAGAGTGAGAGTTTGACATCTTCTTTGCCAATTCGGATGCCTTTTATTTCTTTTTGTTGTCTGATTGCTAAGGCTATGACTTCTAGTACTATGTTGAACAACTGTGGTGAGAGTGGGCATCCCTGCTGTGTTCCTGACCTTAGGGGGAAAGCTCTCAGTTTTTTTTCCAGTGAGAATGATATTTTCTATGGTCTTTTTATAGATGGCTTTTATGATATTGAGGTACGTGCCTTCTATTCCTACACTGTGAAGAGTTTTAATCAAAAAAGGATGCTATACTTTATCAAATGCTTTTTCTGCAACTATTGAGAGGATCATATGGTTCTTGTCCCTTCTTTCATTAATGTATTATATTACCTTGATAGATTTGCAGATGTTGAACCACCCTTCCAGCCCAGGAATAAATCTCACTTGGTTGTGGTGAATAATCCTGTTAATGTACTGTTGGATCCTACTGGTTAGCATTTTGGTGAGGATTTTTGCATCTGTATTCATTGGGGATATTGGTCTGTAGTTCTCCTTTCTGGTGAGGTGTTTGCCTGGTTTTGGGATCAAAGTAATGCTGGCCTCATAGAAAGAGCTTAGAAGTTTCCCTTCCATTTCTACTTTCTGAAACAGCTTCAGAAGAATAGATATTAATTCTTCTGTAAATGTTTGGTAGAATTTCCCTGGGAAGCCATCCAGTCCTGGACTCTGGTTTGTTGGGAGTGTTTGATGTCTGCTTCAATTTCCTTACTGGTTATGGGTCTGTTCAGATTTTCCATTTCTTCCTGTTTTAGTTTTGGTACTTTATACTTTTCTAGGAATGCATCCATTTCTTCCAGATTGCCTGATTTGTTGGCATATAGTTGCTCATAATATGTTCTTATAATTGTATTTCTTCGGTGTTCGTTGTGATCTCTCCTCTTTCACTCATGATTTTATTAATTTGGGTCCTTTATATTTTCTTTTTGATAAGTCTGGCCAGGGTAAGTTTAGCAATCTTATTAATTCTTTTAACAAACCAGTCCCTAGTTTCGTTGTTCCATTCTACTGTTCTTTCAGTTTCTATTTCATTGATTTCTGCTCTAATTTTCATTTTTTCTCTTCCCCTGCTGGGTTTAGGCTTTATTTGCTTTTCTTTCTCCAGCTCCTTTAGGTGTAGGGTTAGGTTGTATATTTGAGACCTTTCCTATTTCTTGAGAAAGGCTTGTATTGCTATATACTTCCCTCTTAGGTCTGCCTTTGTTGAATCCCAAGTGCTCTGAAACTGTGTATTGCAATAAAAATGATCTCTTGCAATTCTATTACTGGTTAAGTTTTTGGAGAGTCAAAAGTTATACATGGATTTTCAATGGCACAGGGGTCAGTGTCCCTAAACCCTGCACCGTTCAAGGGTCAAATGTGGGTCGCAAAGGCTAAATGAACCCTTTTCCCCACAAACTCACACTTGGCCAAGATAGTAAATGGAAAACAATAGTACATCGTAGGAGAAATAGCAGAAATCAGTGGCATCTACAAATAATTATGAAATGCATGGGAGTGGTCTCTATCGTATTCCCACTGAATTCATTAGTCTGGGCCCTCAATAATGGATAATAGAATGGATAATAGCAGATGGAGGTGGACCACTGAAAAATTAACCCAGTAGGAGCCCCAATTTTTTTAAAAGTTTTTTTTTTAAATTTTATTTATTTATCCGACAGACAGAGATCACAAGTAGGCAGAGAGGCAGGCAGAGAGAGAGGGAAGCAGGCTCCCCGCGGAGCAGAGAGCCCAATGTGGGGCTCCATCCCAGGACCCTGAGATCACAACCTGAGCTGAAGGCAGAGGCTTTAACCCACTGAGCCACCCAGGTGCCCCTAGGAGCCCCAATTTTTAACCATTGCGTCAGATGTAGTATATTTAGCAGAGCAAAATAATATAGCTTTTGTTATGTGGTAAGAAGCTATTGATCTGATTAGTATACAAACTGATTCAATGTTAGAAATATGTGTAAAATCCTTATCATAACTAGCCGTGAATAATGTATAGAATTGTCAAATCACTATATCATACACTTGAAACTAATATTAACACTGTATGTTAACTCTCCTGGAATTAAAGTTTTACATCTATAAATCTATATATCTCTCTCTATATGTATCGAGCATATATAAATATATAATGATTAAAATAATTATTATTGACTTGTATTTCAAAATGTTCTAATTTCTTTTTCTTTTTTATGATTTTATTTATTTATTTGACAGAGAGAGCGCACACAAGCAGGGGGAGGAGTAGACAGAGGGAGAGGGAGAAGCAGGCTTCCCATTGACCAAGAGCCCAGACACGGGGCTCAATCCTAATCCTAGGACCCTGGGATCACAACCTGAGCTGAAGACAGATGTTTAACCAACTGAGCCACCCAGCCACTCCCAAAAAGTCAAAATTTCAACATAAATTCATCTCTGGATATTTTACTTTTTTTTTTTTTTTTTTTAAGGTGGGCTTCACACCCAGCATGGGGTTAGATCTCACAACCCTGAGTGATGACCGGAGCTGAAACCAAGAGTCAGATGCTTAGCTGACTGTGCCACTCAGGCTCCTCATGAGGAAGTTTCTTACCAAATTCACTATTTGCTGAAAGTGTCTCTTAATATAATCAACTCTATTACCTTAATTTCTATTAGAACAGACAGCTTTTTTTTTTTTTTAAAGATTTGATTTATTTATTTGACAGACAGAGGTCAGAAGTAGGCAGAGAGGCAGGCAGAGAGAGAGTCGGGGAAGCAGTCTCCCTGCTTAGCAGAGAGCCCGATGCGGGGCTCGATCCCAGGACCCTGAGATCATGACCTGAGTTGAAGGCAGAGGCTTGACCCACTGAGCCACCCAGGCGCCCCAGAACAGACAGCTTTTAAATTTTGCTTCACTTCAGGGAATTCCAGCTGCTAATCAGTGTGAAATAGAGACATATCTTATTCTAGTCTCTTTTTCCCCTTTTCTGGTCACAATGCTAGTTTTTTAAAACCTTTTCTTTTTTGCTTTTATTTAAATTCCAGTTAATTAACATACAGTGTTATGTCAGTTTCAGGTGTACGTTATAGTGATTCAACACTTCTACACAACACCTGGTGCCCAACCCCACAGACAAGGGTGCTCCTTCATCCCTGTCACCTATTTCCCCAATCCCCCCACCTCCTCCCCTCTGGTAACCACCAGTTTGTTCTCTATAATTAAGTACAATGCTAGCTAGATTCTTGATCTAGACACATCAGTAGTGTGTCTTCATTTTATTTTTATTTATTTTTTATTATATTAGTCACCATACAGTACATCATTAGTTTGTGATGTAATGTCCCATGTGTCTTCATTTTAAATTTAAAAATTTATCCCTATTTTTATTGATTGATTGGTTTTATTTTTAGGTAATCCCTCCACTCAAGGTGGGGCTCAAACTCACAACCCCAAGATCATGCTCACAACCCCATTGACTGAGCTAGTCAGGCATCTCCCTATTTATTTATTTTTTTAAACTAGTAAAATAATTTAATTATAATTAAAATAAAAAAGTGCTTCAATTTAATTAGCACTGTAATTTACATAGGTATCACTGTAACTCATGCTGTCTGCATAAAATATTTAATAAATGCATTGTAATGTTACATTGGTAAGTAGGCAATTAAATCATTGAACTGAATCAATCTATTGGCACTGACCTGATCAGTAATAGGTTTATGTGAATTACCAGGAACAATGCACATGCTTGGGCTTGATACTGGCTTTACAATGTAACAATAATATCTTATGCAATGCATGGTTGAAGGTAATTGTTGTCCTGCTGAAACAACAAAGTTGTCCCGATGCCTGGGTGGCTCAGTCAGTTAGATGTCTGAGTCTTGACTGTGGCTTGGGTCATGCCTTTGGGGTCATGAGACTGAGCCCCTCAGCAGGCTCTGCTCAGTGGGCAGTCTGCTTAAGATTTCTCTCTCCCTCTGCCCCTTACCCTGCTCTCTCCCACTCTCTCAAATAAATAAGTAAATCTTAAAAAACAAAACAAAACCCAAAGTTGTATTGAACAGAAAAATAGTTTATGGGGTTTCAGTTTTTAAGTTTAAATAAAAATTAATTATACTTAGATGAATTTAAAAATTGATTTCTTTAATTGTCCCAGCTACCTCTCAGATGCTCAATAGCCCCATGTAGCTTGTGGTTACCATATTGGATAGTACTGACATAGAGCAAAATATAAGACTAATCTAGTGATCTTATAGAGGACACTATACTCAGTAATGAAAGGAAAGCATTATTTTCCAGCATAAATATGGAGTATTTAAGAAAACCGAGCACATGTTAGACCATAGAGTAACAAAATTAAAGGGCTGTACGGAAAACCTCCATGATAAGAGTGAAAAACCAAATCACTAACTGGGAAAAGATATTTGCAAAATATATAACTGAATTTGCAAAATATATAACTGTGTCTAGATCAATATATATAACAAAATATATAACTGACCCAAAAATAACACATACAAAATAGAAGACCTCCTACAAATCCTTAAGAAGAAGAAAAGCAACCCAATAAAAATTAGGGCAAAAGGCAGATCACTGGTTTCTGATCACTGCTGTAACAAATTGCCACAGACTTAGTGGCTTACGACAATACAAATATATTCTCTTACAGTTCTGGAGGGCAGAAGTCTAAAATCAAGGTTTTGGCTGGATTTCTTTCTTTCTTTCTTTCTTTCTTTCTTTCTTTCTTTCTTTTTAAAGATTTTATTTACTCATTTGACAAAGATCACAAGTAGGCAGAGAGGCAGGCAGAGAGAGAGAGAGGGGGAAGCAGACTCAGCTGAGCAGAGAGCCTGATGTGGGGCTCTATCCCAGGACCCTGGGATCATGACCTGAGCTGAAGGCAGAGGCTTTAACCCTCTGAGCCACCCAGGTGCCCCCTTCTGCCTCCTTTTTATAAGGAATCCTGTGATGTCATCAGGCCCACTCAGACAATCCTTGAGTGCCCCCATTTCAGGATCCTTAACTTAATCACATCTGCAGAGTCCCATTTCCGATATAAGGCAACATTCACAGGTTCTGGGGATTATGATGTGGGTATCTTGGGGGGCATTATGTGGTCTACTATAGGCATTTTACAGAAAAGACATAAACCCACTAGGTAGGAGAAGGCAGTTAAATAATACCTTTAAAGTTCTGAAAGAAAATAACCATCAATCAAGAATTCTCTAGCCAACTACATAATAATTCAAGATTGAGGATAAAATGAAAGCACTTTAAGACCAAAGAGGATGAAAAGAGTTTACCTTCGACAGTTCCCCAGTAGAAAAACTATAGAAGGTTGTGTTTCTAGAAGAAGGAAAATTTGGCACACCTGTGTTCACAGCAACCCTATTCACAATCACTAAGAAGGTTTGAAAGCAATCCAGATTCCATCGGTGGATGAATGAATGAACAGAATTTGATACATACACACATACACCCAATGAATATTAGTTGAGAAGATGTTGGTCTATGAGGGAGAGGTTGTCGGTGATGATGCCCAAGTTTTTGGTTGGGATCCAGGATGAATGGTCAAGTTAGTCAGTGAGGTGTAGAACATATAAGGAGAAGATTTTAATTTTCTTGAGGGTACGAAATTACAATGGGTTTACAGTCAGAAGCCCTTTCAAAGGTGCTGATTTGAATAATGGGGAAGCTAGTCATACTGTAGTGTTTAAGGGTTTGCCATCTGTAACCACACTGCCTATTCAAATCCCAACTTCTCCAACTCACTAGCTGGTCAACCTTGAATAAGTTACATCACCTCTCTCCTCTGTAAAAGAGGATAACAGACTTACATCATAAGGTTGTCATGGGGGATAAGTGAATTAGTAGCCATCTAGCACTTAGAAAATTCGCCATTTACTTACTAAGTACTGAATAACTGTTAGTGTAACAGGGCTTAAGTTGGAAAACTTGGGGCTTCGAGATATAATGTTTTAGAAAATACAACATGTATGATATTCTGAAGTGATTTGCTAATCTGAGAGGAAATATTTCAAGGGGAAAAAAGAAGCCCCAAATAAATGAATACATAATGACATAATGATTATGTCATTCTCAAGCTCTGTGCCCACATCTGAGTTGTATAACATGGCGGAGATGTTGAAAGTTAGAGAGAGGATTATCTTTGGAAAGAGATATGCCGTTAGTTCTCCTCAAGGGCAAGGGGTGAAGGTGCCACTTCCTTCATCTTAAGCCTAGAGAGGGGGACTAGGACATGGTCATCGACTCCTGCCTGAAAAGTGAAAAAGGCGAGAGACAGGCTCTCCAGCAGATGAAGGGGGAGGAGATGTGGCTGCATTGGAACTGTATGCTCAGAGTTTTTTGGCCCTAAGGATGCATGCAAATATCCTGTGGACCAGATGTGAACATAAAGATGCCAACTTATATTATGTCTTGCTTAATGGAATCCCTTGGAGGAGTGAAAAGGCTCCAAGGGTTAAAAAAAAAAAATCCATTCGGCAAACTGTCAAGGAGATGGAATCACTTAAAATGTGAAGACTATCAAGCTGGACTTAAACTTCTCTGTAACAATGTTAAATGCTAGAAGATAGGGGACGATGCCCCAAAGGCCCACAGGGGCAGCATCTGGAACTGAGGGGTCCTCCAGCTCTCCTTGAAGAGAGTAGGGTTGGCTCTGGTCAAGGGTTGTTCTCTTACCCATTGCCTGCTGCTGACCTAGTCTTGCCCATTCCTTCCTCCAGAGGGGCTCCTGGCTCCAGCAATGGGGACAGGAATGGGTGCAGGCAGGTGTCACAGTTCTCTCTGGGACTGGTGGAGAGGGCTGGGCTCCCTAAACTGCTGAGGGACATGGAGCAGACGCCCACCATGCTGAGGGAAAGCCTGGGCTATTTCTCCCAGCCAAGTGTGCGTGCGCACGCGCGCACACACACACACACACATGCACATTCTTTTGTGGGTAAACTTATGCTTTGGATACTTTGCCCAGGAGAGTGGGGGGCTTCGTAGAGATTTAAACTTCTAGAAATTCTATCTGATGTTGCCTGTGAGCACTGCCCCTTCCCCTCCATGCTGAGGCCATTGCTCTCCTTCCAGATGATTTCCAAAACCCCTATTTCAGTGTACCTGGAAGAGGTAGCCTCACCCCCAACAAGAGGGTTATTTTCCAGAGCCCCTTTTCAACAGCAGGGCTGCCTGCTCCTCCAGCTGCCATTCTCATACCCTCCACTAAGGCTGCCAGGAATGAAGAGGGGAGGGGGAAGATGTGGGTGGCGGCGGGAGGCAGGGCCTGGGGGAGAGCTGGGACCCTGCTGGCACCAGCCTGAGGACTCTGCCTGCCTCATTCCCCTGCTGTTGGTGCTCTTGCTGGTGCTGCCAGGTGAGTGCTGGGCAGAGAGCAGCTGGGCTGGCGCAGGGCTCTGCGGGGAGCAGGGGTGGGCGTTGCCTGGGTGCTACACTGGGTGTCTCTAACTCAAATGCAACTGCCAGGGACCGGCGGCGGTGGGGTGGGGTATTACTACAATTCAGATTTGATTTGCTAAGCCTGGAATGCAGCCTGAGAACCTGCATTCCTGGTAATGCCAGTGCATCCGGGGATCACATTTTGAGTAAAAAATCTGGAATGTTTTCCAGGCCAGATGAGGTACCATGGGAGCAGTGAGCCGGGTCCAGCGCTGTCCTGGGGGCGTGGGGCACATCACTGCCTCATGCCTTATTTGGCTGCGAGGGCTTCTGACACCACTGGAATCCTGAAGTTCTTCTCCCAAAGAAAAGAGATGCTTAGAAAAATTCTTAGCAAAATCATGACAGAATTTATTGATTTATTTTTAAAAAAAAGATTTTCCTTATTTATTTGACAGACAGAGATCACAAGTAGGCAGAGAGGCAGGCAGAGAGAGAGGAAGGGAAGCAGGCTCCCTGCTGAGCAGAGAGCCCGATGCGGGGCTTGATCCTAGGACCCTGGAATCATGACCCAAGCTGAAGGCAGAGGCTTTAACCCACTGAGCCACCCAGGCGCCCTAATCATGATGGAATTTTAAAAAGAAAATCTATTTACGTATTTGAAAATCCTCTCATACTCTGGGCTTTCCACCCTCTGCCAAATCTTGCTTCATCAGCTAAAATCTCGACAGGATTCAGATCCTTCCAACTCCTTCTCTAAAGATTTATTTATTTTTAAAGATTTATTTTATTTTATTTATTTGACAGACAGCGATCACAAGTAGGCAGAGAGGCAGACAGAGAGAGAGGAAGGGAAGCAGGTTTCCTGCTGAGCAGAGAGCCTGATTCGGGGCTCGATCCCAGGACCCTGGGATCATGACCTGAGCTGAAGGCAGGGGTTTTAACCCACTAAGCCACCCAGGCGCCCTTAAAGATTTATTTTCAAACTATTTCTCCACTCCTAGAAACAGAGTGGTGTCGCTTGAGCGGAACCTTGAAAAGAAGGCTGAGCCCTCAGCTTGCCTGGTCCGGCGCTAGCTTGGAGGCTCTGGCCCCGTGGGCTAAGCTGCAGATGTGTTTGTGGGAGGCCAGTGCGGGTCTCAGAGAATGAAGCCAGAGGGCTGGGATGGCTGGAACAGATAAGGGGGACCATGGGCTCCCGAGAAAGCAGGGGATGAGGGAGGAGGCAGGCCTGTGTTTAGGCCCTGGATTTTTAAGGAAAAACCCTTTGGTCTGAAGACTTTAGGAGATGGAGCACGATTTTGTGTGAACCTTCCAGGAGGTCCCAGAATTTGTGGTGTTTTGGTGGTGACAGTCACAGGGAAGAGGATCAGAAGGGGGCTCAGAATTAGAAATGGCAGCTTCAAACCAAGTCCTTTAGTCCTGCTTTTTCCTTTCTCCCTCCCAAATCTCCAAGCTCTCTGGTGAGCTCTGGAGACCCCAGTTCAACTGATCCCAGAAGATGTTAAGTGTCTGGCTATGGATCTGGGGTGGGCACAGGAGGGAGGGAAGAGCCAGAGATAGGGCCTCCAAGAATGACTCAAAATCCGGGTCGCCTGGGTGGCTCAGTCAGTTGAGCATCTGCATTTGGCTCAGGTCATGATCCTGGGGTCCTGGGATCAAGCTCCACATGGGGCTCCCTGCTCATCTGCTTCTCCCTCTCCCTCTGTCCTTCTGCCCCCCCCCCCCCGCTTGTGCTCTCTCTCTCTCTCTCTCTCTCAAATAAAAAAAAAAAAAAAGAATTACTCTATCTCCCAGCATCGGACTATGCCAAGCCTGCTCTGTGTTAGATCCCAGGTTTCCTGGGAATACTGGAAATGCATTTAGAGCGTGCTGGGTCTGCCCTTTGAAATGAAGTGAGGCTGAGACCCAGATTTGAGAATTTACCATATTAGTCTTTAGTCTGGCAAAGCTCCAGGAGAACCAGGGCAGGAGCCCCCAGCAGCCGGGGCTGCCTCCCCTAAGTCCAAGGACCTTGCAGAAGAATGAGGCAGGGAGGGGCTGCAGGCTTCCTCACAGACAGGGCTTGTGGAAAGAGGATGTGCAAGCAGCCCGCAAACGGGCTGATCATCACGTCCCCCCAAATGCAAGCCCTCTGAGATGTGCCAGTATGGAGGTCTTGCCTTACAGAACTGGAGCAGTGATGGGCCAGTGTCCTCCTAAGGCTGTGGTTCTCAGCCAGGGGTGAATCGGCCCCCAGGGGACATTCAGAAGTGTCTGGAGACATCTGGGGGTTGGAGGGGAGAAGCGTGCTGCTGGCATCTAGTGGACCGAGGCCAGGAACGCTGCCAAATGTCTCACTACGCATCCGAACAAAATGCTTAGGCCCAAGAGATCACTGGTGTCGAGGGTGAGACCCAGGGCCAGCATTGGAAGCCGGCCTTCCTTCTGGTCCTCTGTGGAACTCAGGATCTCTCCAAACCCAACCTAAACATTTATGAAGCAACTGCTCTCTTTCCCAGGCACGTCACCAAGTGTTTTCTCATCCAATAAATAAGCTAGTGACTTTGCTTTATTGTGGTCTTGATTTTCAAATTAGGACACAGATTTCCCGTATCTATTTGCCTTTTCTTATTTTTAACGATTCCTTTTCTTTCTCTGAATTCCAGAAGAATAACCTGGTGTGCTGGCCAAAACCACAGTCTGATTTACTTTCAAAGTGGATTGTCGTTGTGCTACTGGTGATACCTCTCTTGTTTGTAGTGAGTTTAAACACTTAAAGATCCATCCATTCTTGTTTTCAAGGGGTCTCAGGCATGAGAGGGAATAAATCTCTATCTTCAATCTGCCATCTTTAATCATGAGGCCGACTTTGCCTCTTTCTAAGGACTGAAATAGATTTCTTCTAAAAAATTTTAACCCAATTTTCTGGAGAAGAATCTTCAGTGGTTTGATATACTTCTGATTTTTCATAGTCTATGATGGAGGTAGAAACCTAGGACTGGGAAGCAGGTAGAAGAGGCTCGAACTCCGACTGGTAGTGGCTCCAAATACGGTTTCTCATGGTTGGTGGATGGTGGCATAGCTCTCTGGTCAATTAAGCCCTTTTTAATGGTCCCCTTGGAAGCATCTCAATCCAACCCTTTCTACTGCACAGAAGTGACCATTCTGCCTAAGCGTCAGCACAACAGCTTGCCCTTATCTATACAGGTGACCCTTGGACAACATGGATGTGAACCCTGCTGGGCCACTTGTATGTGGATTTTTTTAAAAGTAATCTCCAGCCCAATATGGGGCTCAGACTTGCCAGGGAAGGCATGGGCCCTGGGTTCCTACCTGCCAGGCATGGACCCCTCCTCAAGGCAGCTCCTGGAGGTGGGCACATTCATGGGTGGCTGTAGCTGTTGATGGCCAGAGGCTAGTGGCACACCTCCAGGCAGATGGGGTGGCCGTCCCTGCCTGAGGGGCCACCTGGCAACTGCCACTGTTGGGTGGAGGCCCCCATGCTGTGGCACATCATTGTCCTGGAGCGAGGCCGGTTGCTGCAGCTGCCCCTGTCCCTACCTCACGTCTCCACATGGGTTTTTTTCCAATATACATATGCTACTGTGAATGTATTTTCTCTTCCTTAAGATTTTCTCAGTAACATTTTCTTCTCTGTAGCCAACTTCTCCTGTAAGAATGCAGCATATAGTACCCATAACATACAAAATGTGCGTGAATTGACTATTTATGTTGTTGGTAAGGCTTTTGCTCAACAGAAGGCTTAAGTAGTTAAGTTTGGGGGAGGAGCCAAAGGTTATAGGAGGATTTTTAACTGTAGAGGGGTCAGTGTCCCAACCCCCATGCTGTTCAAGGGTCAACTGCCATTTATAACACGAGGCCCATTTCAATGGCCTTGCACGTCTTTCCGGGTGTTTTAATCGGGAAGCTGATACGATGCAAAAATTAGGCATGTCTCATTTGCTCCTGTGTCCAAACGTTAGAAATTCAGTCAAAAGGGAGACAGATGCCTAAGCAAGTGCAGAGAGGAAACAAGGGCAGGTAAGTCCTTGTTGCAGCCGGAAGGGCCTACAGATGCCGGTCTGGGAGGGAGCATGGCCTTGGGCAAGTGCAGGGCTGCTTCTCTCTCTACGATGATGCTACGGAAGGCAGAGGCCCAAGAGGGGGGCTCCTTGGTTCCCCGTCAATCTCTATTTTCCGTGTGGAGTAAAAGGTTCGCAGAGTCTTCTGTGACTGATGGGATCAGTGTGTAAGAGTTTGGGTGGAACAGGGATGGTGGGAAAACAGCGGCTGGACACGGAGGAGGGCTCCATGTGGTGACAAGCATGGGCTTGCAGCCGGGATGCTCTTCTGTCCCAAGGAGTGAGGGATTCCTGAAGTCTCTTCCTGACCAGGGTCCCCTTCCGCCACGTGGGAGTGATGAGCCCAAGGAACAATGTACAAAGCAGGCAGAATTTCAAGTTTTTATCCAGTCAGCTCTGGCTCTGGCCTCATGCCTCATTACATTCACTGAGTAGATCCTGCTGGGTTTTCCTTAAAACATTCTCCTTTTCCAAAGCTGGTTGGGTCTGAAGAACACCAGATTCAGGAGGGCCTTGACATTCTGTTCAGTTGATCCACAGCAAGCCCCCTGCCCCGGATGACTCCGTTACCTAGAACAAGGAGCTATCAGTCTTGGTAATAAATCACCCAGGTCCTTGGAGAGGAGCAGGAAGGCTTGCTTTACCCATCCTTGGATTCACAGTGAAGAGGTGGCCTTGCCCTCCTCCTGAAGGACCCGGAGCAACACGCCCACCCTCGTTATCATCCTCTCTCCCTAACAGGATGTGCGGCAGGTTCCTGAGGCAGCTGCTGGCTGAAGAGAGCCGGCATGCCACCGCTGTGGGGCGCCTCCTGCTCCCCGTGCTCCTGGGATCCCGCCTTGTGCTGCTGGCTGCCAGCGGGACCGGGATCTACGGCGACGATGAGCAGAGCGAATTCCTGTGTCACACTCAGCAGGCAGGCTGTAAGGTCGCCTGCTACGATGCCTCCCACCCCTTCTCCCCGCTGCGCTTCTGGGCCTTCCAGGTCATCTTGGTGGCTGTGCCCAGTGCCCTTTACGTGGGTTTTACTCTGTATCATCTGATCTGGCATTGGGAAGAATCAGGAAAGGCGAAGGAGGAGACGCTGATCCACCAAGGGGAGAAGAGCAGAGATGCCTCCAGGGCGGGAAGCCCCAGGCTGCTCTGGGCCTATGTGGCACAGCTGGGGGTGCGGCTGGTCCTGGAGGGGGCAGCCTTGGGAGTGCAGTACCATCTGTATGGGTTCAAGGTGCCCAGCTCCTTTGCCTGCCGTCGGGAGCCTTGCCTGGGTAGTACAACCTGTTACCTGTCCCGCCCCTTTGAGAAGACCATCTTCCTAAGGACCATGTTTGGGGTTAGCGGGCTCTGTCTCTTGTTCACTCTTCTGGAGCTTGTGCTCCTGGGCCTGGGGAGATGCTGGAGGACCTGGAAGCACCAGTCTCCTCCTTCTAACTACTGCCCAACTGCAGAGAGCACCAAAAAACACGAGGAACCGACTGATAGCTTCCGGCCAGTGGAAGCCAAAGAGCCGTTCCGAGAAGCAGGTGAGAAGGCACTGATGTCCCTCCTTCTTCCTGCCTCTGAGGTCTCTGTCCTCATGATCTCCCACGGCAGGTCCCTCTACCTCTGGGAGGCACCCCTCCCGCGTGTTACAAAACAGAAAACCAGGTTCTAGGCAGATGTCTTCTGACCCCTGTTTCCAGCCCATCCCCCCACCCCCACCCCCATCGGTTTGACCATTCCTTCCAATGAACCAGGACCAGGGCGCTCAGCCAGTCTGAGCTCTGCCTTTCCACTTAGGCCTCTTTCTACTTAGAAAAAGTCTCAGCTCCCACTGCTTCTCTACTTTGCAGAGTTATGAAGCCACCTGCCTCATCCCGGAAGGGAACCCTACGACTGGATCTTCTTCTGCACATCCAGTGAGTGGGGATTTACTTCCGTTGACAAAGCAGAGGCTCTTGAAGCATCTCCAAGGGCCACGGCAGGCCGCGCCGCCTGAAGCGCTTCCTGGGAGAACTCTTGCTCCTGTCTTCCCTGCACAATCTTCTGGTGTCAGAGGCAGTTATCACAGGCTTGGTTCCAGAGTCAGCCGGCAGAGGCCTCCATAAAACTGTGCTTCTCCCCTGTAATAAACACCTGTTGCTATTGGCATCCCCGTTGCTCAACACTACCTTCCTGTCGAGGTGACTCTACTTACCTCTCCCCTTGGTTCCATGCTCTCGGCTCCCCCCAGCTTCCAAGTCCTGTCACCTCTGGACGTCCCCAGCCCCACAGTGTTTGTTTAAAGCCAAATATCAATATCATATTCAGACTAGCCTTCTTTGCATCTCTAATCTAGCATCCTTTAACATTCAGATCTGATTTATTCGAACACCCGGCCACATTCTGTAGGGAGGATCACTGTGAACTCGGAGGATTAAAAGGACTGCCAGCTTGACCTCCGCTCAATTATTGTTCTCCACTTGGTGCACAGCAGCTGTTGCCTTGTCTCCAGCCCAGCGGCAACTCACACGAAGGGCCAAATGCCTACTTCTTAAACGCAGACCCCTCATTTCCACCCAGAAAAGACAGGAGAGTTTTGCTGCTTGGTTCAGGGGTAATAGGAAGGGAGTATGATTGCATCACAGTACTATTCGACAGACAATTTAAAGCTAAATATCAAGCTTCTCTTTTTCTCTTTCTCTTTTTAAAAAGATTATTTATTTGACACACACACACACACACACACACACACACACACACAGATCACAAGCAGGCAGAAAGGCAGGCAGAGAGAGATGGGGAGAAGCAGGCTCCCTACTGAGCAGAGAGCCTGATGCGGGGCTCAATCCCAGGACCTTGAGTTCACGACCTGAGCCGAAGGGAGACGCTTAACCCACTGAGCCACCCAATGCATCCCAAGCTTCTCTTTTCTTGAGTCTCTCTGTCCCATCTGCCTGAGGGGATTGTAGCCCCCCACCTTTCTGCAGAAACAGCTCTCCCCTCAGTTCTTCCTGCCCTCAAATTCTCAACAAAGAGCAGCTACCTGTTTTGTTTTCTCCTGAGTACCAAATTATCCCAGGGTAAATCAGGAAGGCTCATTCCTAAAGAAAGACATTTGGTCCCTCAAGGGACTGACAACTAGGAAATTAATAATTTTTCTTTCTGCTATGCAAGGGTTTTTATAAGGAATTCCTCATCTACTATAACCAGAGTCCAGCCAAGTGACCAAGGATGGGGGGAGAAAAAAAAGCAAATGTCATCATTTGGAATTCACTCTTGATAATCCTTTTTAAACAGCTTTATTGGAATATAGTTCACACGACACATAATTCATCTACTTGAAGCATACAATTCAATGGCTTTTAGTATAATCACAGAGTTGTGCATTTATTAATACAATTTTAGGACATTTTCATCAAGTCAAAAAGAAACACTACAACCCTTAGTTTTTACCCCCAGACCTCCATGCCCCCCAAACTTAAGCAACCACTGATATACTTTCTCTCCCTATATTTCTCTCTATAATCTCTCTAGATTTTCCTATTCTGGACCTTTCATACAAAGGGAATCAATTATTCAATACTTGGTCTTTGTGACTGGTTTCTTTCATTTAGCATAAGATTTTGGAAGTTTGTGTTGTAGTACGTATCACTACTTCACTCCTTTTTATGGTTTAACGATTTCATTGTATGGCTTGCTACACATTTTGGTCCACTTTTTAGTTCATGGACATTTGAACTGTTTCTACGTGCTGGCTATTAGGAATAACTGTGCTACTAACATTCATATACTAGTTTTTGTGTGGATGTATGTTTTTCCATTCTCTTGAGTAAATACCTAAGAGGAGAATTGTTGGTGAATATAGTGACTCTTTTTAGCTATTTTCCACAGCAGCTGTTACAATTTTCATTCCCAGGAGCCATGTATAAATCGGTTCCAATTTATCCACATCCTCGCCAACACTTGGTTATGTCCTTCCTACTTTCCTTTTCTTTTCTCTTTTCTTGTCTTGTCTTTCTTTCTCTCTCTCATTCTTCCCTTCTCTTTTTAAATTAGAGCCATCCTAGGGAGGTGAAGAGGTGTCCCATTGTGCTACGATTTGCATTTCCCTAATGATATTGAGGATCTTTTCATGTGCTTATTGACTATTGGTATATTTTTTTTGGAGAAATGTCTACTCAGATCCTTTGGCCATTTTTTAATTGGGTTGTTTGTACCTCTGTCATTGAGTTCTTTACATATTCTGGGTATTTAGGATTATATAGGATATAGGATTTCCCTTCACGCATTCAGTGGGCTGTCTTTCACTTCGCTGATTGTGTCCTTCGAGGCACAAGTTTTTAATTTTGAGCAAATTCAAGTTATCAATTTTTCTTTTGCTGCTGGTGATTTTGGTGTTGTCTTAAAGAAACTGATGCCTAATCCTAGGTGGTGTGGATGGACACCTATGTTTCCTTCTAAGAGTTTTACAGTTTCAGCTTTACATTTAGATCTGATTGATTTTCAGTTAATTCTTACAATATGGTATAAGGGTTCAACTTCATTCTTTTTGCATGTGGATATCTAGTTGTCCCAACAGCATTTGCTGAAAAGCCCGTTTTTCTTCCATGATTTTCGGCATCCTTGTTGCAAATCCATTGCTTGTCAATGTTTAGCAGTTATTTCTGGACTCTCGATTCTCTTCCATTAATTTGTATGTTTATCCCTATCCCAGCACCGCATGTTGTGATTGTTGTAGCTTTGGAATAAGGTCTGAAACTGGGAAGGGTGAATCCTCTTACGTTGTCCTTCTTTCTCAAGGTTGTTCAGCTATTTGGGGTGTCTTGACCCCATATGAATAAAATTGTCACTTAGCAGTCCTCAATATTTTCAGTGAAGACAGAAGTTCATCTCTGGAGTATAGCGGGATGGAAGCCATAAGGACCTTAAGGTGTCATAGGACCTTATGTTTGCCACTCAGTAACAGGCAGACATACAGACACATACATACTAATATCACATTCACGGCAAAAATCAGCAACTGAAGAGAGCACGTCTTCCTGCTTGGTCCATAATAAGACTCAGATTTCTTCTCAACACGGCTTTCAATTTTCAAAGAAAAAGCATTTATTCATTGTATGAACATCTAAAAAAGTAGATATTCTGTCTTTTGTCAAAACCCTCAACGCAGAGATCATAGGAACCCCTTTTCAAGTCACTTAATTGGACATTTGAGAACTACTTACTGAGCATATTATGGGAAGGGCAGTATCTGATATTGGGACACAGGAGGAATTTAAAAATTTCATTCATAAGAAAAGGAATAAAGTGACAAGAATAAAATAAAAAATCCAAGGATGGGAAACGGATAATTCCCTGAAATAGGCAAGCATATTGTTTGCTGAAAGTCTCAATGGATGTTTCTTGAGATAGCAAAGTGGTGGTTGTTCAAGTTGGGTACCAAAACAGATCTATCCATGCTTCCCAATCTTAACCACTCCCACTTAAAGAAAAACTGATTTCCTTTCCACCCATGCTCTGGTCCCATCAGATTATTCTTAATGTCCTCCTTAGGGCACTTACAGCTCCACTCCCCAGGCTTTGGTCTGGGCTCAACCTCCTCAAGTAGGAGGGTCGGGAATTGCTCCAGCAGCTAGGGCTGCAGCTACAGGATCTGCTCCTTTCTAGCATCTTCGATAAGAGCCACTCAGCAGATCACCCCGAGGTGGCTTAAAGCATCCCATACCCACAGACCTGTCGAGAGCTGAACCACCTAAGACACTGGTGGGAAGTCTCCTGTGCGGGTAAGATCATCTAACCCTAGATTCTTTACCCTGACTTAACTGTTAGTAGCCTTATCTGCACTGGGTGTGTCCCACGCTCTAGGAATGAGCTGCTTTTATGTAGTGTTTGTCTCCTGGGGCTTGGAAAGAGAGAAATCAAGGTGACTGGGGGGAACAGCCCCCCCTCCCCACTAGCTCGTGGGGGCTAAACACTCCCTCTCCTGCTCGCCTCTCCGAACACTGGCTCTTCAACGTATCCAGCTCCTCCAACACCAGAATATGTGGGCTTCACGGGGGCAGTCGAGAATCCTGCCTTTCCAAGAACTCAACTAGCCCTTGCGGTTGGAGACCGAGAACGAAGTCCCGAGGTCTTGCAGACCGAAGAACGAATGAAAAGAACGGACTTGTGGGAGAGCAAGCTTAACAGGCCCAGCGCCTTCCTTGTCCCCCACTCCAGGCCCAGCTGCACAACTCCCTCTGGTCCTCCTGGCCCTCCGGGCCCTGGGGCTGCAGCACGCCCAGAACGCCCGACCCGGCTGCAGCTCGCCGAGGAAGTCAGAACTTAAGTCTCCCCGCGCCGCAAGCGAACGCGGACCTCACCTCTCCGGCGTGAAGGGCGGCGCAGCCTCACGGGCGCCTCCCGGCTAGGCTCCTCCAGCTGCGGCTCGCGAGGGTTCCTCGCGTCCTCTCTAGGCGTTTGGCAGCGAGCCCCGCAGCTCTATCGTTGGCCCGAGGCGCCGCGCGCGTCCCGTCGTGCCCCGCGGCCAGGCCCGGACCGCCTCGGCGCGCCCTCGCGTCGCGGAAACCCTGCGGCGGCCGTGCTCGCGCTCAGAGCCTGCAGCGCGCGCATGAGGGAGAACCGCCGCCCGACCGGCGCGCGCCCGGCCCGGGTCCCGAGCCCCCAGGGGAGCGGCCGCCGCGCTTTTCCCTCCCAGCCGCCCGCGGAGAGCCGGCTGCGCCGGCGCCTCGCCGCGACCCCGACCCCGACCAGGACCACGACCCCGACGCAGAGAAGCGTCATGGAAGCCGAGGACCTGCAGGAGGACCTGACCTGCTCCATTTGCCTGGACTATTTCGAGGACCCGGTGTCCATCGAGTGCGGCCACAACTTCTGTCGCGGCTGCCTGCACCGCAGCTGGGGGCCGGGCGGCGGCTCGTTCCCCTGCCCCGAGTGCCGCCAGCCGTCGCCGTTCTCCGCGCTGCGGCCCAACTGGGCCCTGGCTCGGCTGACCGAAAGGACGCGGCGCCGGCGCCAGGGCCCCGTGCCCCCCGGCCAGTGCGGCCGCCACTGGGAAGCGCTTCGGCTCTTCTGCGAGGACGACCAGCGGCCCGTGTGCTTGGTGTGCAGGGAGTCCCAGGAGCACCAGGGGCACACCATGGCGCCCATCGACGAGGCCTCCTGCAGCTACCGGGTGAGCGGGCCTTCCGGGGCTGCAGCTCTTCCCGGGAAGGCTTACCCTTGACCTCATTCTCATCCAAGTACCCACGAGGTGGCTGCTGTTCCCCTTGAAAGTACAGCCTCCACCCCGCCTCCAGGTGCAAAGAAGCTAAGCATCGCATAGATCTCAGAGCTGGGCTTAAAACTGGGAGGGGGAGGGTCCGCATAGAATTTTCAAGGTACGGGCTCCTGGCAGCTCCGAGTTTAAGACAGTCACACCGACAGGGTGTATGCCCGTGCTGTCCGATAGAAACAGGATGCGAGCCACGTATGTAATAAAACTTTCCTAGTGGTACAAAGAAACAGGTGATGCTAATGGCTATGAAAAGTTATCAGTGAGATATTTTACTTTGGTTTTTCATAATAGGCCTTTGAAATCTGTGTTTACACGCACGGCACTTGTCAGTTGGGACCATCCGCATTTTGGGTGCTCACCTGGCTAAGGGGGGCTGTATTGCACCGTGCAGGTGTATACCTACAGGTGTAACAGACAGCTGATGATTTGGGAAACGCCAGGCATGGAGTGATGAAGCTGGGATTTGTTCCCAGCTTCCTCCATCAGTTGGGGAAAATTACTTAATGTTTGAATTTGGAGATTATCTGTCCTACCTATTTTATGGGTTAAGGAGTTTCCGTTGCATAAATCAATTTATCGTACTCTGCTCCAGCTCCACTGTCTTCTTGCTTTTGTTTCAAGCCTGTTCTTTCTCTACCCCCACCTTCCATCCTTTACATCTTTTTAGCTTTTAGCTTGAAGACCTTCCTTGATCATCCTTTCCAGAGTAGTCCTACCCCCTTCTATGGTGTAACTCCAGTGGTCCCAACAGAATTGGTTTCTAGTAAGTACTGGTTGAATACACGGGTTTAATGATACAAGTTAAAGTGTTTCATAAACTATAAAATGCCACACAGTTTTATCAATTTATTACAAACAGGAGATATGCAAAGTGGCAGTACGAAGTGTACGTCCACTCGGTACCTTAGTACTGTCTGCCAGGCATTGTTCTAGGATCTGGACATAAACGGATAAGAAAGACAGAGCCCTTGTCTTGTAGGGAACACAAGCACGCAGACCAAAAATTTCAGTGTGTGAGTGGATTATCCAAGTTTGTAAGAAGTACATAGCCTCCTCAGTGAGGAGCCAGTGGGGAGTCAGAAATGGTTTCACTGAGCTGAATGTGAACTCACTCTTGAAGGGTGAGTACAATAGGTAGGGAGGGGGATATTCAGGCCAAGGGAACAGCATATTCCACGGTGTGGTGGCTTGAAACGGCATGTGATAATTGTCCGAGGACTGGAAGTTGCTCAGTACTTCTGGAATGTAGGGGGAGGAAGGGCGCTGGGAATTAGTGTTGAAGAACTGCTTGGTGTTGCCCTCCTGCCACCTTGTGGCAGTTTCTGTTATTGCAGGGAACACGAGTTTTCTAATGTTCCCAGAATTCCCGATTTTATTCAGGGGCCCTAGTCAGATTCCAACTGTGGCAGGATTCCAAAAGACTTAGAGTCTTGGACTAGAACCAACGATATGGGATATTTCATGCATACTGGAATTGTTAAGGGCTTTTAAAAAATTGAAAAATTATATTTAAAAGATGATTGTTTTTTCATTATTAAGTAAAAGTGAAAACTTGAAAAGAAATCTTGGTGCCATTCAAAACAGCTCTCTGATTAATACATCAGATTTGACCGTGATCACAAAGTAACAGTTAATTCCTTGATAAAGGAATAAAATTACTGGAAATAGCTTCCAAAGTAGCAGGATTATATACCTATTTAAGTTAACAATTAAGGTTAGTAA